TACATTTCACGCGTTTCACGTTCGGACAACCTTTAAGAGTCTTTTTCTTTCTTCCTCCCCTCTCCCCCCTGTAAAGGAGCCTTGAAAGGTTTTATTTATCGCATCAGAAGGCGGATGAGCGGGTGTTTACAGGCTCAGCTTGAAGGACTTGCGTTCTTTTTAAGAGGGCCTTTTTTTTTTTTTTAAAGAAAGATTGTTGGTCGAATAGAAACCTGGATGAGTAAAAGTCCGAGGCTGGAGCTGGAGGGGGGGAGGAAGAAGTGTGTCTATGGGTGGGACGGGTGAGGGGGGAATTCTGGTTTGTGGTGCTCGCTCGCTCGCCCCCTCCCTTCCCTCAGGGAGCCCGGGAAGCCCCGTAGTGGGGGTCGCGGTGGGCTGAGAGGGCGAGGGGGAGCATGCTAGGGTCCTTTGGTTTCCCCTCAGTGACCAGTTTCTCTCCTTCGCTCTGTTTCCCTCCTCCTCCCTCCCTCTCTCTTCCCTCTCCTTAAGGTTTGGTTCAAGAACCGGCGGGCCAAATGGCGGAAGCGGGAGCGGAACCAGCAGGCGGAACTCTGTAAGAACGGCTTCGGGCCGCAGTTCAACGGGCTGATGCAGCCCTACGACGACATGTACCCGGGCTACTCGTACAATAACTGGGCCGCCAAGGGGCTGACCTCGGCCTCGCTCTCCACCAAGAGCTTCCCCTTCTTCAACTCCATGAACGTCAACCCGCTGTCCTCGCAGAGCATGTTCTCGCCCCCCAACTCCATCTCGTCCATGAGCATGTCTTCCAGCATGGTGCCCTCGGCGGTGGCCGGCGTGCCGGGCTCCGGCCTCAACAGCCTCAATAACTTGAACAACCTGAGCAACCCTTCGCTCAACTCGGCCGTGCCCACGCCCGCCTGCCCCTACGCCCCGCCGACCCCTCCCTACGTTTACCGGGACACGTGTAACTCTAGCCTGGCCAGCCTGAGACTCAAAGCCAAGCAGCACTCCAGCTTCGGCTACGCCAGCGTCCAGACCCCGGCCTCCAACCTGAGCGCCTGCCAATACGCCGTGGACAGGCCGGTGTGAGAGAGAGAGAGAAAGAAAGAAAGAAAAAGAAGCCAGCCTCTTCGGCCGGGCTTCGGGGTGGCTGCTCTCGTTGCTGCGTGGGAGGGGGGGAGGAGGGCGGGGAAGAAAGCCGGCAATCGTGCGTGACCGTCGGAAGGGACGAAGGCGGCTTCTTGGCTTCGGCATCTTAAGGACACGAACCTTCCATCCAAAGCAAACGGGCGCTGGGGCGGGTGGGGGAGAACGAGCGAGAGGAGGAGCAATTAGAGGGCCGAATTTAATCTACCCAGGCGGAGGGGAGAGGGCGAGAAGGGAAACCCTTGAAATTACGGCGTTCTTTGCTTTTTAAAGGGTGTTTTTCGGCTCCTTAAAATAAATGGAAAGAGGTTTTGTTTTTTTTTTAAAGAAAAAAATGGGAAAGAAATGTTCCCAACCGAGACAAGGACATATATTATTATAAATATATATAAAATACGGACAAACGTTTGACTGGATATGGTATGACATTTTAATGTTCCTATAAGCTTGTTATTTTTTATGTTTAGCATTGTTAACATTAAAAGGAAAAAAATGACGGGAAAGGATGTATATATATATTGAAATGTCAAAATTAATTTTATAAAAGCAGTTGTTAGTAATATCTCCACAGTGTTTTTAAAAAGTTAGGCTTTAAAATAAAGCATGTTACACAAGAGAGTAGGGATTTGTTTTTCTTTTTTCTTTTCCGCTTGCGAGCAAGGGAATGTATATAGTGTACTAAATGCAACACTGTATGTTTCTAACATGTTATTATTAATATTATTATTATTATTATCATTATTAAAAAGGAAGTCCCATTGTGTGAATATCAGTTTTTAGAATAGTACCTCTGGTGGATGCAATGGTGACTTTTGAAACTGCAATGTAAAACATACCGTGTATAACATTTTCGTATACTTAGTGTTTTCCTTTTCAGACAACATTGAAAAAAAATGTGTTTCATGGGAGTAAAATATACAGCATACAGTTTGGTCTGGATTTTTTTTTTGTAAATTTTGAGCGAATTTCCCAGGGAGGATTTCCCAAGTACTAAAGAAAAATAATACTTAGCTCTTATCTAACCTGTTGTTTAAAAAGGGAGAAAGAATCTAATTCCGTTTTTTTTAAAGCCCCTGAAATCTTAATTAGGACCTGAGAACTTCGAAAATGCCCGATTTTCTCCTCTCTCTCTCTCTCTCTCTCTCTCTCTCTCTCCCTCTCTCCCTCCCTCCCTCTCTCTCTCTCCCTCTCTCCCTCTCTCCCTCTCTCTCTCTCTCTCTCTCTCTCTCTCTCTCTCTCTCTCTCTCTAGCATAGCGGCATGAAGGAGGAGGTTATAAATAAAGTGCAAGTCTTGCAAAAACGAAGTGTGTTTTCCAGGACCGGGAGAACGAAGGTCTGTCATTTGCTTCATGGATCGAATCAACCAATACCCGAGTGGATTCGATCCAGAAGAGGTCAGATTCTCTTGACTTTCCACGAAAGAAATTGAAATAAGCCTTTAAAATAGAGGTTGCTCTGAAGTCTGGAGGGAACCTCGCGGAAACCTTCGGAATTAAATCCCCGTGGCAAATTTGCCTTTCTTGCCACTGGCAAGTTGCCAGCCATTTTAAACCTGGAGCTTTACAAGTTCTGAACCTTGGCCGGAGTGTGCCTAGTACAAATAACTGACCAATAAAATGATCAAATAGCCTAACGTTTCTCCCTCACTTTTTTTTGGTCTCTTTCTCCCTCCGCCCCCTTTAAACGAGAGTCCTCCGTTAATTAGAGGGGAACAGACCTTTGCCCCAAATCGATGCCGGCCCCACCCCTAATGACCCTCGATTCCCCTGTGGACTGGCAGTGGGGGAGGGGGGAAATAAGCGGGCTAGGCTGGGGCGGCTGAGGATTTTTTTTTTCCTTTCGGGGAGGGGGGGCGGCGACGGCGTGGCAATTGGTTACAACCTTTGGCTTCCCAGCGAGGTGGATCTACTTGGATCTGGAAAACTACTGGTTCTTAAAAAATCGTTCCGGATTACGCTTTGTATCATGTCTGCGGCAGGATGACGCAAATCAGGATGAATGAACCTCGCCAGCTCTCTGAGCCGGGAGGTTCCGACAGAGATACAGGCAAAAGCTAAAAGGATTTAAAACAAAACTAACACAAACACGAAATGAGGATAGAAAGAAAAGAAAGAAAGAAATAAAAAGAAAGAAAGAAAGAAAGAAAGAAAGAGAGAAAAGAAAAGATCCAACGCGCATACAGCGGACGTGGTCAGAAGGATTGGAGAACCTAGACCCAAAAACATTCCCGCCTCTTCCTGGATGCCCAGATTTTTTTGGGGGGGGCGATTTTGCTAATGTTGTAACTTTATCAATAATCACAGCAAACAGCAAATCCCTGCTTTTGTTCTGCTCCGCATCGCAGCCGAATAGCAGGGAGAGAAAGATCCCAGCTAAAGTCCATCGCTGGTGATGGCCAGGCCCTACAAAGCAACTTCTCTTTTTCCCCTCCCTTTTTGTTTTCTTATTTTCCACAGCGGACTAACCCTTGCCTGGACACGAAAGCCTCCCCCTCCCTTATCTTTCGGGACAGCGGAGGAAGGGCAGGGGAACTGAAAGGAGGAAGACTGCAAGGGGGAAGCCGGAAATGTCCAGCACCTGAAGTCGCCTCTGCCCAAGCAAACTTACAAATGCAGCAGCAGGAAACTTACTCAACCGCCCATTTTTTGGCTTGACCTGTTACGCATCCATTCCCTTTCGCCCACAAACCCTTCGCCACTTAATAGGGTTCGGGGAAGGCTGATTTGATAGCTCATCGCCTGCAAAGATAGGCCCTCAAACATGCGTGGGCTCAGTGTCCGGACCAAGAAAAATGGACTGTCCGCCCAAAAACTCAAAATGCGGAAGCTTCCGAATTCACCCGCGCGGGAAATATTCTGAGTCCCTTGAGACTATAATCTTCCGGTTTCAAAGGAGCATAAAAAGCCTAAATGTGTCGCTGTTTGGGTTGATCTGTGGGAGGAGGAGGGGGAACCACCACTAAAAACATAGGTGACATATACGACGGAGTAAAAAAAAAAAAAAAGGAGCCGGGATCCAGTGGAAAATGCGCGCCTGTCAAATTTCAAAGTTTGAATACTGAGAGTCCAAAAATCACAGCTGAAGATCGATCTTTCCTGAATGTCATCTTAGATGCAGCTTGGGCACAACCTGGCGCCCTCCAGATGCGTGGGACAGCAAGCCTGCCCACTCCCAGCTGAGTCTGGCTGTCGAACACATTAGAGCAGGGGGTCTCCAACCTTGGCAACTTTCAGCCTTGTGGATTTTCAAAGCTGGCTAAGGAACTCTGGGAGTTGAAGTCCACAAGTCTTAAAGTGGCCCAGGTTGGAGACCCCTGCATTAGAAGGGCTCGAAGGTAGGAAGTCTCAGAGTGGGGGAAGGCCTGAGGGTGAGGAGTGGGGAAGGTCGAGTGCCCTGCATTCACCCCAACTCCAACCTCAGGGCGGGCGCAAGGGTGGGGAAGCTAAAGGCAGCCGAAACGGGGACTTTCTTCCTTATCACCTTATTTGCATCGCCAGGAGTTTGCTGTCGATTGATTCACTCTTGTCAACACTTCAGGTTGGGGAATGAAAGGGTCTGGGAGATATTTATGACGGCTGTTCTCCTACGTGCCCAGTGTTTAAAATAATGGTAATTATTAATCCGATTGTGATCAGCACTTTAATAAAGAACCAGAAGAGAGTTCCTGGAGACCCCCTCCTCTTTTTCGCCCATTCTGTTCATTCAAAAGTATTTCTAGTGTGGCCCATTCATTTGGGGATGCAGTGATGGGCCTTAAACAGAGATTTCTAGGTCTCCGGTATCAAGGAGATTTTTTAGAAACAAGTTTCGGAGAAATCAGGGCGTTTGCTTAATTTCCCATTCAGGGATGGAAGGCCTGCAGTTTATAGACTGGTCCCATGTTCAGAATTCAACCCCATGATTTTCAGTGGGACTTTCTTCCCACATAACCGGCTTCAGGACCGCAGCCTTATTAGTGTCTATCTGTAATCTCATTCATGGCAATGGAGCCTAAATGCACCTGGATTAGACCATACATCGAACCCAATGAACCCTCGTGCTGGATTCTGATCTGGTTAACTCGATTCGTGAACCCTGATTGACTCTCCACCCCTCACCCCACAAAAAAAGCTTGCATTTTATTGTCTAAAATGGGAGAGAACCTTGTTTTCAGGCCAGCAGGTAGATGAGTGCAGGAAATGATATCTCCCCCCCCCCCGCGCCTCATTTTAAGGGGATACTCTTTTTTCTTTTTCCCTTCTCATCCTCCTCCTCTTTCTCCTTCTGGCTCTGCGTGACCATTTATTCCTTTCCAGGAGCTTTTTGCATGCCTTGGTCGGTCAGAAATGGAAAGAGAGTGATGGTTGTGATCTCTCTCTTTCCCTCTCCCTCCCTCCCCCTCCCTCTCTCCCTCTCCCTCTCTCCCCCTCTTATTCTCTCCCTCTCTCTCATTCTCTTATTCTCTCTCTCTTCCTCCCGCCCTCCTTCTCTCTCTCCTTTATTCTCTCCCTCTCTCATTCTCTTATTCTCTCTCTCTTCCTCCCGCCCTCCTTC